AAAAAAAAAAAAAAAAAAAAACAAAAAAATGTGAAAATCGCATTTGCTTGGGCAACCAAAAACTGGTAGTGAAACTTAAGTTATTGGTCTCCTAATACACTACAATGGAACATTTTATAATTGCTGCAATATAACAAGTGGACCGGCCACATACATACATGCATACATACATACGAGTATGTATTGTAAAGAATTATATCCACTTGTGGATGGACGTTTCGAACGCAACGCATTGGTGGCCAATGTGATATTGTGAATACATAATTTGTTTGTTGTTGTTGCTGCTACTGTTGTTATTTGGCATGGCTGACATTGCCATTTTGCCCCTTAATTTCACGGATTCAATAAATTTATCTTTTGTTATGTGCCATCCTGATGTCCTATGGCCCAGCATATGCACATCCACATGCATACATAATATATAATATGTATGCGTACATAAGGACAGCCAAACACTGCATTAGTTAGTCTAAGCGTTATTGCGAGAACGTGGAACTATGTGTTTATGTGTACAGGCATGTCTGTGTGTACGTGTGTAGAATGCTCTATGCGGTGGTATGAAAACTTCAATTTATTAGATTTACTTGCAGGTGGGCTGCGTCGGGTTTTGTAACTAGTGATGGTGGTGCGGGTTAACCATATTTTGGAAGCTAAAAAGAAATTAACGGTGTTTTTGGCTGTGTCAGAAAATGTATAATAAAATTATAATTGGATTTTAGTTACATAAATATCTATACATGAAGTATTATTTCTAAATATATTGTTGATAAGTTTTTTAGAGCATGATAAGTGCGAATTTTATATATATATATTATCGGCGCGATTTTCCGCCGAGCTCCACCTCCAACTTGTGCTTTTGCGTCTTGATGTTTTTCCAATAAATGATGGGACCTACAGTTTATGCTAAGCCGCCTCCGAACGGCTGATTATATGTTTTTATGAAGAGCTTTTATTTCATGCCAAAAACACGCTCGAAGGCTCTGACATTCCCATCCGAGGGGCGAAAACAATTAGAAAAATTAATTTTCTATAATTTCAGAATTTTGTTGAGCCCGGACTTAAAACCTGGCCTTCCAAATGGCAGTACGCAATGGTAAACATTTTAGCTGTTGTGAAAAAAATGTTAAGAAAAAAATAGACAATAAGTTCTAAATATTTTAGCACACAATCTTCGAAATGTTATGCTCAGCCTGTCCTCTTTAATTTTTGCCTTAAAGCCCTTTTCAGCTTTTGTGGTGAGAATATTCTTTCTTATAAACATTAATTTGTTACTATTGAGGTTAGCATATAATATTTTCAAAGCTTGTTTACTTTTCTACTGGGTTCACTATAGCTAGGATACCGTGGTGTACCATGCATATATGGTACACACACACACATACATATACAAATTATTTATTCACACATTTTAACGCCTGTCACTGTGACCATTTAATGTCACGCAACAGCGGTCACACCCTCACCCATTAAATATCCAAAGGCTGTTGTTTATTTGCATTTTCCAGGCTTCTTAATAGTCTTATTTATCGTTAAATGCTTACCATTACTCTAACATTTATACACAAGCTATACACTTGTGGAGAGACTAACTATACAGAATGAATAAAAGCACGCATATGTTCATGAGTATGTACGAGAATATATTTTTGTACATATGTATAATAAACAATTTCTTTTCATACAAAGTTATTTATTTAAAAGGTTCGCAATATTAAAATAACTTATTGGTTTTTGGATTTTTTTTGCAATTTATTATATTTTATTATAGACATTAATTTTATACTCAATTCAAAATATCCTTTGTATTTTCTAATGATTTGTACAATATTTTTGAGTTTTACCAACCTTTAAGAGTCGATAAGAATAGTTTAAATTTTGAAATTTATACTATTTTATGTACCCTGCAACGCTTCATCTCATATCCTATCCCATGAATAAATAAAAAATGAAGCCTCGGAAACCTTATCATCATAATTTTATTAACTCAATATTTGTGGGTATGCAACATTTTTGGCTTTACAATCGGCCACGCAAATTAAAATGTTTATCAGTACATAGAATAGTCATGTCCATATATTGATATTGAGCTTTGTTGATAATGATTGCAAGCGTCAGTAAAACGGAGAACTCTGGCCGCTTGAATTGAAAGGGAATAACGCACGGACTGATAGTGATTCGAGGATTGACGACGTACAGTGGGATAAAAGTACTCAAAACCCCTGCATCAGAGCAAATATTAAAGTAGCGGGCCGAACATTTTTTGTTAATTTTTCTATTTTACATCAGCAAAGCTGTATCGCGATCAAATCGAACAACTTATTCCAGAGATGTGATCATTCAAAGTTGAGCAATCCCGAGTTGAATTTTTTGTGTTTGAAAATTATTTAATTGGTGTCTGTACAAAAATCACTATAGAAAATAAATTTTTTAACTAAATGTGACCATTTTTTGCACGCAATATATAAACATTAATGCAATTAATTCCCTGTTCATATATTATTCGAGCATTGGTTAGTTTAGAAAATAAAAATGTTCGAACTTCTTAAAAAAAAATTTACTTTTTTGGAAAAAGTAACAATTTTCTTGCGATCATAGCCTTTTTTACTCAACGCAAATCAACGAAACACCTCAAGATCCCTGAGCTAGAAGCTTTTATAAGGCAAATAATGTTGAACTTATTTACAAAATCTTGCATTATGCTGAAACATTTCAATTTGAACTTAGCACTTCAGACGAAAACTTGCTAAACTGAAACATTTTTATAACAAAATTGTTTGGTAAATATTTCTTAATTTTCGTGGTAATCCTTTACTTTATTGCAATTATACATATTTTTCGCTTTATAACTGATGAAGTGATTTTCGGGCGAACTCCTCTAACAATTTGTGGCTAGCGCATTCGAACCGACGATGGATTTCAAGTCAGAAATAGCTCAGAGGGCTTGACATTCTCTGCGTCAAGGCGGCTGATTCTAGATATTGGTCAACCAGAATTTGAACCCCGGTCGTCCGAATGGCAGTACAAAAAGTTAACCACTCGGCTATTGCGGCCGCGCTTAGTGGACCTTGATTGTGTCCTATTGGAAATATATTTTCAAAGAATTCAGACGTTGACATGTCAGGAGTGATTCAAAAAATTATAAAAATTGATAAATTTAAAATTTCACCTAATAAATTTATAATTATTTCATTCTAGAAAAATTAAAAAAAAGATAAAATAAAAATCATATATATATATATATATCATCATCATCATAATACAATAATTATCAATAAATCTAATTTAAATATTAATTTTTAATATTTTAATAAAATAATATATTAAAATTTATTACAATAAAAATAAATTATTAAAATTTACAAAAGTTTTTATAAAATTTATAAATTATAAATTTAATAATAAAAAGAAAAAAACATATTTCATTTATAATTTAAATTATAAAATGAAAAAAGGTAATTAATTAGGGGTTGCTTACTTGTGCTGGAAGGAGATACCTAATATTTTATTGATATTTGTTATCGTTTTTTATTTATATCAGACTCAGTTATAACCTTAATTAAGTTTTAGTATTTAACCTTAAATTTTACTTTATCTGAAAACTTGCTTGTAAGAAGGGTAGACAAAGAAAGACTGACAGACGAAGAGTCGGCATAAATATTACATAAAAAGCATACAATGGAAGTTATCAGTAAATTTTACTAAAAAAAAAATTCGTACACATTTTTACCAAGCTTTCCAAGGAGAAATATTCTTCTTTATTAAAGGATCCACAATAAAAAGTTTTCGCATTTATTATCGCATATATATGTAATATTTTGTTCTACAAGAAGAAAATAACCTCAATCAGTTGGATAATGTTTAATATTTGCATTTTCTTATGAATAAGAAGATTTGTAAAAAATTTTAATTTCCGACTTTTCCGTTCCAGAAAGAGTAAATATAAAAATTTGCATAGCATTCCATTTCTTCAACAATCTTACATAATTTATACAAATTTGAATATAGAAGAAGAATTTACAACTTAAAATAAGCAATGCGAGTGTTTTAAGCACTTTTACCCCACTGTGCGACGTCATAAAAACTAAAATTACTTCAAAGAGAAACTTATTTTTAAAATTTCCCAATTCAAACGGTGTAAAGTGCTAAGTGAAATCTAATATCTCTCTATACTGATTTTGTTTAAGAAACCATTTCATTTTGTGAAAAGTTTATATACCTACTTGGTGGAGTGAAAAGTTACCTCCTTGGGAATGAAAAAAAAAAATTTTGTTAACCGTTTTTTATTTTACATAATCTAATCCCCTTTAGCTCGATACACTTATTTCAGCGATTTTCCAACTTTTTGAACTTTTCTTTCGAAGAACTCTCGCGTTCGTGTTATTTTTTTCATATGCAGCAACTTGCCCAAAATATGGCGTGTGCACTCAGTACTAATCTTTGTAGCAGCTGATAGATCGCGATCCGTCACTTTCCGGGCAGTCAACAATATTTCAGGTATTTTTTTGACATTGTCGGAGAGCCTGCCGCTGAGTGCTTGATCGGTAGTGGAGTTGCGTCCACCACGAAACTCTCGAAACCAATATTTGATGGTGTAATTGGAAGGAGTATTAGCCCCATAATATTTATCCTACTCTTCTTTTGTTTCCTTCGCTGTTTTGTCTCTCAAAAAATAATGTTTTATGAGAGCACAAAAATCGTTATTGCCCATACTCAACATCATGCCGAACACGTCAAAAACAATCAGCTGTCAAGCAAAACTAAGGGCAGTATCGCACGAAAATTTGGCATCTTTGCCTAATTATGAACGAACTACAAGGCACTATAAACTTTTTAAAACAGGCAGTCAAGGAGGTTACATTTCATCCCACTTATTATATGTTTTTCTTTAAATTTCGAAATATTTTATTTCGAAAAATTTAATTAAAATATATTCCTTGGACGAACCTAATGCAAGCATAACTAAATAATTTTTCCTTTAATTATTAATTTCATTTATATAGCTCTTAACCAATTTTAATGACGATTTTTAAGAACATGAGCGCCACACTTTCCATTAATCAAAAGCACTTGAGCGTCAATGAGGAGCATTTCGGTGGCGTTGGAGAGCGACATCGTTCTAGGTGAGTAATTTAAAATACACCACTGTTGTTTATACAAGTATTATACAACCATAGCATACTGCAGAGCAGAAATAAAAAAACAATTATTTATTAAAATAACTTAATATTTCCCTCATCATTTTACGCTAATTACGTTCACAAACTGCGAACTTTAATAACAATAATAACATCATCATCATTAACTTACATTACTGACACCACTTAACCCCATGTCATTGCTATTTATATATGTATGTGCACATGTATAGATCGGAACGCGCCTCCAGTTTGGCGCTACCGCACAACTCCCTCTTGGATTTCTATGATAAAGAGCAAGAACAATGCAATTCCGTGGCATTATTACCGACCAATATAAATGTAGTTGTGCGCCGGCATTCATCACACTACTATCCAATGCTGGAAGAGAAGCAGCAGCAGCTGCAGCAGCAGCAGCAACAGCAGCACCAGCATCAGCACCAGCAGCAGCACCAACAACAGCCGGTGAAAATACATTCACAAATGCAAATGCAGAGTAGGCAATTGCCAACAATGGCTACAGCCGGAGGCGTACCATCACCACCACAAACAGCAACATTGCCCATGGCCATTCCCCAGTTGCCGCAATACAATTATAATCATAATAAAGCCGGTCAATTGGCGTTGCAAGATATCCAATCGATGTCATCATTGCCGCTTTCAAACCTTGTAAGTACAATGAATGCAATTTGCCAATTGTGCTGTGCAATGGAAGCCGCCATTGCATGCACACGCAAGCACTCACACTCTTACACATTCACACACCGCACTAGTGATCTTCTTTATCCGTTTGATGATAACACGAAAAAACTATAATAACACATCCACATACTCTGCATCAGGAATTGCTACGTACGCGAACACGCATACACATGTGCTCTACGAAAAGTGTAAAAACAGAGCGGCATAATAGCCGCGGGACTCTTCAACACGGGGTTTCAGAGATCTAATTTTAGGAATTCATGGAAGCTTTATTGGATAGGTAGCATCCAAAAATTATAGAAAATTAATTTAAATAAAAAATTATGTTACAATTTGTAACGAGCCCGGTTCTCCGGTCTATAGCTGGGCTGTCACTCAGCCGGATTATAGGACACTTCTATTGTATAATTATGATTCCAAAAGGAGCAAAGTCGAAGTAAAGGACAACACGAGTGGTTCTACTTTCACACAATTAATTTTATTATTTAAATCTATATATACCTCTATCTACTCCTATTGGTAGCGTTTGCGCGACATATCATATACACCAGCAACGACAGCACAAACAGAAGTGTCCTATCACTGCTGATGCTACTCCTTTTATAGCCAATTCTTAGTGGGTGATTTCCTAACTCAAATGTTTATTTCTGGTATCCATTTCCATTTCCAAACCACAAATTGGATCTCGGGCGAAAGTCGCTTCAGCGGCTACAAAGCGCCAATTATATATATATATATATATATATAAAGAGCCTTATGACATCACTAATCCGTTCTTGGCGCACAGCTAAGCGCGGATATCTGGAAGCTGGATTCCTTCCTACTGTCTAACATAACAGACGTCAAGGGAAATAACCGAATGAAACTTATTATGGAATCGAATTAGATGAGCAGTCAAGCTCAATAATCAAGGAGATATCATAGTATCAGATGCTTCCAGATCGATAGCCATTTCTGCCTAACAAGCTCTCTGGGTTTAACATATAATGTATAATATGAACCCTGTTTGAAGCAAACCGTAGTCCACTTTGGAAGCGGGAGCAACTTCATCCATCCGAATGGCATTACCCAATAATTTTCACTCTTCGGGTATCATCAATAACCACTTACCTTTAGAGGTAATTTTTTTAACGATATACTCAGCGCTACTCAGTTACCGCCCAGCCGACTGAGTGGCACGGCTGAAGGAAAAGTGAAAAATCCGATAGACGGGTGACCGAAAGCCTTGACGCGCTCCGGAAGTTAACGGTTGAACTTGCCTGTTACTGTTACTGTTAATTGCTTATCAGCTACAATAGATTGTATGGAAATAGAGAAGTTGTGTGTGTGTGAAGCGGAATGTTGTGGAGTTGTCTACTTCGCTAATAGTTGCACTGATCCTGTATTTCAAGATTTATATTATTGTTTTTTAATGACATATTCAGCCTCTCTCTGGTTAAAAGTACGAAATGTTTGCCTTTTTCTCCCTTTTCTTCCATCAGCGAGTACTGCAACGACAACTTTTAAAGGTAAAAGACCAAAAATTAGATATTGTCATGGTCCACGCTTTTGCAAGAAGTACTTGATGTGTTTATTCAAGCTGGGAATTACTACTCGAATTTATTCGTATTCAGAAAATGAAAAAGCTCATCCGTTCAATTTTCACTGCCACTCAGCAGACAGTAGAAGTTCAGTATACTCTGGGCATCAATCACTAGGTTACCTCTCTGGGTTCTACAAGAGTTTGCCCCGATCTTGAAATATTGTAAGCCAACACAAGTTAAGCTTTTTACACTCACACTTCTCAGCCACTTTGTTTTATGCCTGCACATACGTCTATGCATCCCGCTGCAGCACTCGGTATCTTTCCCATTCCGCACATATAGTAGTTGATGGCCAGGTTGCGGGGTAGGCAGCCTGTATTCTATTCATTGCAGTTGAATATTCCTAATCGTACGAGCTTTTCAACTTGAGCACTTTTGGGAATGTTTCATCGTTGCCTCTTTGTTCACACTGGTTTTAAAGTCTCTCAACACAATTTTTACATCGTTCGCTCATAGGTATGTTCTAGGCGCTCGTAGCAAGCGTCTTTGATCACATCGTCCTTTTCTTCCGTCAGGGTACGGTGTGAAAATCAGCGAAGCCGCTGTAATATTTCATTTTGATATTAATTTGGGCTAAGTGTTCATCCACTGGAGTACATGCCAGTGCTCGGTCGACTGAGTGTCCTTCTAATTATAAATCCAACAACAAATTCGCGCTCATTTATATGGCTGTTGTAGTATATTTTTCACAAAGACCTACTGATTTTCTTCCTTATCCCATCCATTGTACTTCTTGAACGATGGTGATGTCAGCCTTTAGTCCTAGGAGGATATCAATCAGCTGGGCAACGGCACCTTTACAATTAAGAAACCGGGTAATCCAGGTGCATGCCCTCAATTTGTGATCCTTGGAACGTTGCGGGTATCGTTTTCAAAAAGGGTCTCTCATCTGATGCTTTTTTTGCGTCTAAGAGCTTGAAATTTTGGTATTGCATTGTATATTCTTATATTCAAATCAAAATTTTCACTGAAAACCATTGAAATAGAAGGACTATTTCAGATCAGAAAGTGAGTTTAGATTTTAAAATTCAAAAAAAAAATATTAACCGTGAACTTTATCGAAACAGAATCTTCGATTTTGCAATAAATTTGATAAGCTCACAAATGGTATAAAGACTTCGGCACGGACAGCACTCCTTTCCATTAACAATTCTTTATAATTTTCTCGTATGTATATTTTTCCCAAAGTCAAGTTCCAAATAAACATTTATTCAATAAGAATACTCAATAGTCCAAACGCAAATCAATAATGGTTCCAATGCCATTAATCACCTTCAGGTACACTTTCAGGGAAAATGTATACAAAAATATATATAAAAATGGAGAATACACTTATATACCCGTGTATATGTAAATATGTATCGAATCTATTCAAATGCTTATCCAGAACTAACACAATTCACCAAATTAACATTTGCACACACAAATATAAATATACATACATTTATTTATATTTATATTGAACTGTGCACGCAATGTGTAATTCTTCATTCACGCATCATTGTCCACTTTTTCAATTTTTCACTTTTTCTTCATTTTGTCCTATTTTTCTTTGTCGTTTCAGGTGAATGGTAAAGAGAAAAAAGTTTTCACTTACAATACGGTGACCAGCGGCGTCATCAAAAACCAACAACCACCTAACTTAGCCAACACAACAGCCCAATCGGCATTGGCTGCCGCCCAAACTGCTGTTGCGCCCGATACACCCCCACCACCCGTACCGAAACGCACGTTTCGCGGTAGTTACGCTTGGAATACAGCAATTGAATCGCCCACGCCCACGTCCGCAAACCAAACACCGACCAAAGATAAACAACATATCAGTGCTGGCACCGCATTTGTTTATCCACCGCAAACACAAACCCTTTCACCCGGACATCGCCTACAGCATCAGCAGCAGCAGCAACAGCATCAGCATCAGCAGCAGCATCAGCAGCACCATCAACAGAGTCACACAGTTTATTACAACACAGGCAGCAATTCTTTGGACACGGCAGCCCAAATACAAATACAAAATCAATTGCAATCACAAACGCAATCTCTGCTTGTTGACCTGGCCACACGTTCTTTGTATGGGGATGCTGGTTTGGATGCCGATGGTATTTCAGATGATGATCGCATGAGTTTGGAAAATTCTGTGTTTGATGAGTCGTTGACTTCGACACCTATCAAGGTCGCAGCGAAAGCAGCAACGGAAGACAACAACGGTGGTGGCAAGTTATCGGCAAGAACACTGGTTGCTTTTAGTGGTGAATTGAGTAGCGCCGCAAAGCGTGCTAATCGCTCGTCGAGCAGCACGGCTGACTCTATAATATCATCGGGTTACGGTTCGGGGCATAGTGAGCGTTTTGCCTCCACCTCAACGAACGCAGACTTTCGCAGTCGTTTCTCATCCGTTGACACTCAGTCATCCATGGACAGTTGTCTTACAGAGAAGACAAACGAATCTTCACTCTCTAAGGATTCCATGAAAATGGAACGTACATTGCTTAATGATGCTATGAATGATTTTAATGTCATAAATAATAATGAGACACGCAATCATATCGGTTGTAATGCATTGGCCAACAACAATAATATATTACCTAATAATCGTCAAATTACGAATGAGACTGCGCAAACTGTTAATGGTTTGATGCAACAGAAACCACCCGTTGTCCCAAGCCGTAAACAGTATGCCGATGTAATAAAAATTCCACCTCCCTGTAGTCAAACCAGCTCACAACAGTCATTGCAAAGTACCGGCTGCGGTAGCGGTGGCGGTAGTGTGGGCAGCAGTAATGCCGCCTCAACGGTTTCGGCCTCCACATCCACCTCATCCACAGTGTCTGCTGGTTCAGGCACCTCCACCGGTTCGCTGCTATCGGGCTCGGCTACTACATCCAACAATGCCATTTCACCACTCTCACAAAACGCAGCAATTATTTATCAACAACCGAAACGTTCAGTACCGCCAATACCACCAACACGCGGTCAACTCAGTTTTGAACAGAATACTAACAATTCCACACAGGTTGAATCATCCACAACAATGGCATCATCGAAGCCGCCGCCACCGGTGAGCATTCGTAATAAACTATCAAAAAATAGGCCACCACCAATCGTGTACCCGAAACTACATCAACGACAAGACTCAAATTTATCCAGTGACAGTTTTTCCGTCACTTCTAGCCCTGGCTACAATTCGAAGAATCTAATGGATGTGCCACTACTTCAGAACGCATCACGTATTAATAAGAGCGGACCGGGTGTGGGTGTTCGACAGCAAGACTCGGCGAACGCCTTTGATATTAATAGTTCGAGATTTGCTGCTTTGTCAGCTGTCGGTATGGGCAATCCTATTTTACCACCCCCTCGTAACAAATATAGCTGCCGTCAAGATTCTAATATATCAAGTGATAGCTTCAGTCAAACTTCCAGTCCCAGTTACAATACAAAACAAATGGAAGCACCATTAATACCCTCGCTCTCTGTAAAAAGGTTGTGCGGCGGTAAGTCCATGCAAATGGTTGTTAACTATCTATGTTTTTAGTTTGACTTTAACTTCAACATTAATTTCACATTTAACTTTATCTTGGATTTTAACTTAAACTTTAAAAATAAGTTAATTTCTTTAACCGTTTCGATTACAGTTCCAGCGCCAATTGTTTATAAACATAAACTACAAAATGAAACCATCGAAGAGATGGAACAATCGGTTCCTATGTCACCACTTACTAAATGCGTGTCCACGCCAGCTAGCTTACAAACAATTGTACGTTTCCAAAATGGGGCGCCAAATACAATGTCGCTACAGCATCAGGTGAGCGCATCAATAAAGTTTCACTGGAACTTAGTATTCATTTAATTAAGACATTTTTGAGTTGAATCAGGTTAATGGGCCGTTTGGCCTATCCTGACTATGCATTCCAGCATTCCATTCTTTTACAGTGAGCTCCCATTAAACATTGGACCCTTTATTATTCTAGTGATGACGATGTTTGAAAACCCATCCAAAAGGAGTAAATATTTTGACCTCTCATCGTCTAGCGTTAGCCACATCAGTTTATTTGCTTTTGTAGTGAGCTCCAGTCTAAGCACAATCTGTGCATAGAGGTATACACGTAACTCGTGTAGAGCTCGCATTAGTTCTTGCAGACTCATCCGGGAATGATTCCACAATATAGTGTTACTTTTGAAAAAGTGAAGTTACATTGAAGAGATCCAATGGCATATTGTCTATATTCCTCGAATTCCTGGTAGGCGTCTTGATATGTGATATACTAAGCCGCCTCTGAACGCCTGATGGGGTTTTATGATCAGCTTTATTTCTTAACAGAAATACGTTCGGAAAGGTTGAGCTTCCCTGCCGAAGGGCGAATGTCAGCAAAGCTAACCACTCGGCTACCGCGGCCTCGAACATTTAAATTTTCCCACTTTTTTTCTGTCATGGAGGCTTGTGAAACCGAATTTATATAACACATTCTTCCACATATCCCGGCGTACCCTACACCTTGATACCTCCAAGGCAAAGTGGGTGCGGTCTAACGGCGTTGCAACTCGCTTGAAGTTTACCGTAGATATTTAGTTGAATAAAGTTTAGAAAAGCATCGAGTCCTTTGATGGGAGTGGAATTTTATTCCTAAAAGAGTTTTTTTATCGAGTATCGACCAACAAACCATGGCTCTGACTACCGTTATGTATATATAGTAGAAAATTTACGATTTGGACCACACCTTCTGGCAATGACCGCATAACAAATGCATATAGAGTTTTCCTTAAGGTTTCCGTCTTGTTGTGGTTCTAGTTATGTTTACAATTATTCCAAGGTAGCCAAAAGAGGTTTATATCTCTTGATGATGAATGCCATTTCGGTTGTAGCTGAGTTGATGCAGTGCATTTTGAAAAATTACATTTAAAGCTTATTCACATAAAAGTTTCGTCTCGCTTTACGACAGATGCTTTTGTAGTAAGTATTTATATGAATAAGTAGACATAGAAAGTAGCTGAAGTGAGCAGAAGCGATTTAAGCAGAATGTTGTCCAACATTCTTTTTATTTGGACTTTGTACTCAGTTTCCAGAGTAGCGGATTTACATTGAGACACACAAAAGTGGGGGTAAAAATCTTCATTGAAAGGTGTACCTTCTGTTGTATCTTGTAGCCTACGAGCTGCCCTGCTCAGCAGTAGTTCCCACGCTACTCACGATGGACTCCTCATTTTTCAATGTGGCGAATTTATCGAAGCGCGTTTATACCAACCTCGTATGGTAGAATATGTTTAATAAGGTTCTCAGCTTCCTCTGTGATTCCACGAAGTTGTTTTGAATACAATTAACTACGTCTCGTAGCGATGTGTCGACGGACTTACTCTTAAAGTAAACATATTAGTTACTCGAGAGACTATGCATGGGTAATTTTTCCTGAAGTCCTTTGGATACACATGATTGGCCCTTTCTCTTTTTTGTACAAATACTACTTTTCTTTTGGTCTATTGGTGAGGAATGTAACTCTCCTGCGGTTTTAAACACCAGTAGTTCATTTTCTTTAATGTGTCCTAAAATAATTTTTGAGAATATAGATTATTTTCACTAACCATATTTGAAAAATCAATCCGAAGTAGAAAAATATAACTATTATCTAACCGAGAACTATCTTATCGTTAAGGTAGCTAAGTTTAGCCGAGGTTCCAATGACAGGAAAGGTTTCTTTATACAATAGCGGAGTAGTAAGCGATCAGTTGGCAATGACATTTGGTAGGCCAGGCATCGAGTTCTGGTTCGGTCAACATCTAAAGTTAGAGAAATGTAATTATCCTAATTGTGGTCACCGCTCGGCAAAAAATGTCAAGACCTTCGAGCGTTTTATTGACATGAAAATCAAATAATCAAATATTCTCATAAAAATGTATCGGCCGTTCGAAGATGGCTTAGAATAAACTGTGAGTCTCTCCGCTTGTTCGAAAAATTTCAAGTCGCATACCACAAATGTGGAGGGGGAGCTCAGGCAAAAAGCGCCAATTATATATAACAGTATATTAATTCTCAACTCCATCTCAATTTGAGTTCAAGCTTAAAATCTTATTGGATTGTAATGTAAAATTTGTTACTGCAATTATTATTTTTACGACGGTACTCCCTTATTTACTCCAATGTTTTTTCATTTTTTTTATATCGATTTCAGCAGATTTTACCGCCACGCAAAAATTGCATTTCCAGTTATGCGCGCCAAGTGGGAAGATCTCGTTGTTGTCACTATTTGTTGAACGTAATTATTATTATTGCCGTCGCTGGCTGTATAATGGCATACTACAGAGCCTATCCAACTATAAAATTAGTCAATACAACTATAATAAACACCGTCCATGTAGGGGGAAATTCAACTTATGATCGGAATCCTGCACCGGGGACATGCTTACCAATTATCGTGAAGTTTTGCCAAGGTCCACAGATACCGTACAATTACACCGTATTTCCGAATTATATTGGACATTTCGGACAGCTGGAGACGCAAGTGGTAATTTTCATATTTCAAACCTTTTATTTTTTTATTTAATAAAAAAAAAACTGAAAAAAATATTTACAGGATTTAGATGCCTACGATGCGTTGGTAGATGTTCGCTGTTACGAATTAGTTTCCTTATTCCTCTGTACATTGTTCGTACCGAAATGCGGTTCGACTGGCGCAACAGTTCCGCCCTGTAAGACTCTCTGTACGGAGACAATGAGGCGTTGTGGTTTCTTCTTCGACGTATTCGGTCTCAGTTTGCCCGAGTATTTGAATTGTAAATTGTTTAAAGATTTCGAAAATCCGGAAGATTGTGTTGGCCTCGATCAGGTGCGTGAAGTGATGATAGCATCAACGAATCCGAAATGCGATGGTTTTCAATGTGATCAAAATCGTTGTTTGCCCAAGGAATACGTATGCGATGGGCATTTGGATTGCAATGATCAAACGGATGAGGCGAAGTGTGAGCGTTGTCGAAAGGATGAGATTTTTTGTGGCGAGGATCGTTGTATTGGCATAAATCATGTGTGCGATGGTGTAATCGATTGTCCTTACGGGCAGGATGAGCGAAATTGTAGTAAGTGTAAAATATTTTTAAATACGTAAAGGGTGTTTTTTTTTAGACGTGTGGTATAAAATGAGGTAATACTTTTTTTGAAGCAGGTCTTTTTATTGGCACATCGCGCCCTGTGTCCTTTAACAAAATCATCCAACAGAGTCGGTAATTCTATCAACACATAGATCGTTCATACTCGAAAATAATGCTCATAGTGCGAAGACACTGTGTTGTTGTTGACCAGGGTTTCGAAGAAGACCCGAATGAGTTTAGCCGTCATCGCGCGCAACAATTGGAGCAGTCTTTATTAACTTTATGGAAGATTTTGTGCAGGTTTGCAGGCTTACAAAGCCAAATTCGTATACGAACTGAAGCCGAACGGCTATCAAGGGTGTCCTACGTACGATGAATGGGCCTACAACGAGATGGCCAGCGGTGAAGCTTTCTAAAAAATTATTTTAAACGTTAGTAACATCCTTAAGAAGTCATTGTTTAGTGTGCTCTATGTACAGAGATAATTAACTTCAAAAGTGAGTCCGAAGATAATGTTACACAATTAATATATAACACAAGGCGTGGCGTGGACTGCAGCGATTTAACACCGTTGGACTGTTTTTGTGGGGTTATGTGAAGTCGTTGGCGGCCACGGTAGCCGAGAGGTTAGCATTGCGTGCTGCCATATATCTATAATGATGCTCAGTTCTTGGACATAATATTAAATAATATGTATTTTATTTATTCTTGAAAACCACACCACTAAAAAATCTCCCTTTATATACGTTTAGTTGAAAATAGGGGGAAATAATTGCTTCTTTTCAACTTTTTTCTATTCCTATCACTTCAAACCATGTTCTAAATATGACTATTAAACTGTTTCGATGATTAATTGAAATATTTATATCACCATTAGTTCGTTTAAGTGAACGTAATGGCGATTTAGGCAAAGGCATGCTGGAATTTTATCGCATAAGCACTCAAATGTGGACGCCTGCTTGTGTTAAGAACTGGGATCGTGCTGTCTCACCTTCGGCTGTGTGTTCTATGTTGGGTTATAGTGCTGTGAATTCCACCAGTGTGGTAACGCTGAAGACGCATCGTTCACTTATGGCATCCATAAATGTTTCTACCGACATTTGGAATATGTATGCAAAGAAACATTCAAATATGATGAAAGAATTCGCCAGTTGTTCACCGGATGAGGATTACCCAGTTGCTGAGCTAACATGCGCAAATTACGGTGAGTGTAGATCAATACATTTTAAATTAAACTGTAGTGTATTTTCGATTTGGGATTCCGGGTTCAGAGGTTGGCTGGAATTTTTGGCAAGACCCAGTGTTAAACGTCTTGAGATTTATCAGAGAGCAGACTTGGTCGAAGTAGTCCGTATTGAACGCAATAGTCGAGTGTTTAGCTTTGCGTACTGGAAAACCTAGAGATAATATTTTTAAGATTTTGCCATGGAATTATCAGGCAAACATCCTAATCATCTATCGCTGGTAGTAGAGTGTGCGCTTGAAATCTCAGCTGAGTGGAATGAGAGAGGGAAAGACAAAACTCAATAATTTCAACCACAATTCTTAAGGGATAATATCGTTGTGCTCTCCGATTCTTCAATGAAAAACTTAGCTAAAGGGTAACTTATTGACAGCAGCACAAATAAAGAACTCCCGATTTGGAATTCCTGCAGATTTTTAGCACTAAAGTGAGGCTTGCGACCCTAAATGGTGCTGACGGTACAAGCTTTACACTTGTGTTGCAACGTACCTTTTTAACGAATATTGCAGTCGCGATGAGAATTATCTAAATGAAAGTCCTGACGAATTAAACTAATTAACTTATAATAAAAATGTCGTATAAAGCAGCATCTAAACTAAACAGCTCCAGCTCCCTAACTTAATTTAGTGACCAAAGATGAACCTTTTGCCAAGTGTAAGTCACCTAATCTACCTAATGGGCGGAAGCTTGGATGAAACTGGAGATATTCATATCAAGACTGATGCGTCCTTGTATGCAAGGCAGGCATACAAGGAGGGGGTTTCTGTGATCTCTCCTCTACCAAGGTAGCTGCAACCAATTACTACAACTCTGTCTTCCAAGCAGAAATTATAAGAAATACTGAAGGCGCCAAATCGGTAACCCCCTCAACGAGGGCATATCTATTTTTTATAGACAGCCAAGTGACAATTAAAGCAATTAAATGGGCCAACATAAAGCTCTCTAACGTATTTCTTTCTACAAACTATTATGCTGGAGAAATACACGTACGAGTGTCCGGCCTTGTGCTGTTTGGGGCGTCACTTCTTTCAAGGTGTTCTCAACTACAACTTCAGAAAGTATGGTATTTATAAAATTTAACAAATTCACATGCTCAGTTGCTCAAGTGCGGCCGCTTGCGGTCAGGTCCTCAACATCCCACTTTCAACCAATCAACCATCCATTATTTTTAACTAATTTATGGATCGATTTACTTGAAACTTACTTCTATAGAATTGGCTTTGATATGGTGCTTACATTAACTGGAAGACTACTTTCCTCTTCGGGAAGGGACTGATCTATTCGAAAAAATTGCTCGAAATATAAATATTTTTTCTTTATGGGAAAGAGATCACGGACTGATTGACAAAAAGTAGTGTGATTTGACTAAAAGCATTGATCGTGCGTAGGTATGTTCGCTTCGTACTTTCATTATTCTGCGGTTGCGGAATATATTCTTATACATCTTATACATGGTTATGAATAGGCATATATATTGAAATAGTGCTTACTTCGGACATTCACATTGACATTTTCATGAGAGACTTTGAGCAGCGAAGAAGTGATCAGCGCATTTAAAGAAATTGTTAGATCAATAGTGTAATAACAAGCTAATATGTTTTGACTTACCAATTAGAAAAAAACTTAAACAAAATACAGAAAGTCACTGAAAAGGCAATAATGGACTGCATGAAATTTGGATATTTATATAAAGTATTAAAAGTACCGAGTCAGATGTTGCGACCTTTCTAATGAGATCTCCATGCAAATGAAGAGAAACTGCTTGTGAGAATTGTAAAAGAGAAACCTAGAGCAATGTCACAGCTGCTGTGCAAGGCTAGCAGTATAGACTTCCCTGCAAGAAGGCTTCCGATCATTTGAGCCAACATATGTCAGCTCGTAGAACGATTTTCCTATCACTTTCTTTAGACCGAAATATCAAACGAGATGTTTACATTTGTATACGTGTACGTCATTCTCTCTTCGTTTCCTTGTGCATTTTTGTCATTCTTGTCGGACAAACAAAACACAGGAGGGAAATCAGCTTTGAGAAAAATTGTCGCTACATATATACATACACGGTGTGTCCCAAAAATAACCGAACTTTTTGGATATAAAATAAAATACACATTAAATTATCTTTGAAAGTTATTATTTATTCAATATAGGTTCCATTTGACTCAACACAACGTTTGGAACGATCAACCAGCGCATGCATAGATATTTTTATGTCATTTAAAGAAATGTCCTTCAGTACCTCGGTTACAGCTGCTTGAATGGCTGGGATATCATCATAAAATGCTCCCTTCATCTTGGTTTTCAGTTTTGGAAATAAAAAATAGTCACATGGTGATAGACCAGGCGTATACGGAGGATGGTCGATGAGAGAAATCCCTTTTTTCATTAAAAATTCGAGCGATTTTTTGGTCGTCATTTAATTCATGTGGAACAAATCGTGCACAGACCTTTCTTTCCCCCAAATCTGCAGCTAAAATTCTCCAAATAGTGTTTTTACTCGTATTCAATTCCTCAGCCAACATTCTCGTAGTAAAATTTGCATCGATACCGAGGATTTCACTTAATTTTTCCACCAGTTCTGCACGATTACTAGTTTCTGGACGTCCTGCTGCTGTTGTTGTTGTCGTTGTAACCGCAAAATTATTCCCCAAAGTACTTTTTGGGGAATGTTGCGGGAGTGACAGTCCTTGGCCGGATAAAAGTCCGGGGCGTTCCGGTATAAAGACCCGACTGTAGCGGGACCTATTGGATTTTAGTCGCCTCTTACGACAGGCATGCCTTACACGGGTAAATTCTTGAGTCCCTAACCCGCAGGGGGTGGACGCATATGTGTTAGTGCTGCCCGAAATCGTGTGAGTGTATTGGTGAATCCATCAGCCCATTCTTGCAGGGACAAGTAGTTCTTTTACAGTCGAGAGGTATGGATGTGGGCGTATGAAATGTCTGTAAGACAGTATAGAGGACAGCGGTGCAAACTTAGTAATAAAAAAAGTTTTGACAATCCCTTGCAGAGAAACTTTTAATGATAATTTGCGGCACTCTTTTGAGAGAATATAAATTACTAAGTCTTGTTTTGGAAATATCACATTAATCCCAAATGTATGTACAATAATAATAATGTATCACATTGTATTGTAGAATGTGGTAAAGTAAAACGTGGTCGTCACAAACCGTCGCGACGCATTATTGGCGGCGCCCACGCCACACCCGGTACATGGCCATTTTTAGCTGCAATTTTGGGTGGACCAGAAAAAATATTCTACTGCGCTGGCGTATTGATTTCCGATCAATGGGTGTTGACGGCCTCACATTGTATAGGAAAGTAAGTTCATATTTACGTGAATATAATATTATGGACATATGTATATGTACGTGTATATTTGCATATCCAATTAATTCTCTCTTCACAGTCACACCGTGATCGATCTAGAAGATTGGACCATACAACTTGGCGTGACACGTCGTAACTCCTACACATATACCGGGCAGAAGGTTAAAGTCAAAACGGTTATACCACATCCGCATTACAACACTGTCATAACCCATGACAACGATATAGCGCTCTTTCAGGTACGTTTAGCACTTACAAATTAAACACCTTTTGACAATGATGTTGTTAATATTCTGACACTTAAATTATTCTTTACAGCTTGCCACCAGAGTTGCTTTCCATGAACATTTATTGCCGGTTTGTCTGCCACCACCCGGTATTAAACTGAAGCCGGACCAACTGTGTACCGTAATTGGTTGGGGGAAGCGCGACAATAAAGATCGTAAGCATGATTTTAGATAGTCTTTAACTTCTAAAATTTCATTTAGCTTATTTTGGTGTTCCTCTTAGTATAAAAATATAATTGTCAGTAGAGAATTCGCAAAAATCTATTTTTGTTCAATATCCATTTGGTTTCACCCGAAAGGATGCCTAGTAGAATTTATTTCTTCACTATCGAAGCTGCCATGGACACCTTCAGACCTTTTAACACATTTAAATATTATATAGAGTAATGGACCATGGAGGTACACTTAATGTTCTTGAGCAATTCCGACGTACCGCTAAACTGTTATAGGCCAGTGGGGGCCGACGCAAAGAAAACGAGAACTGGGTCTGCTTTTCGGAGCATGGAACAAACAAGAGCACTACGTTTGCGAGAATCCAGCCTTCAGATCATTGAAATGTCACGATACTCTTAACTTCAGCCGTCTTTAGGTGGACATAATATAGAGGTAGCTGCTCGCAAACGCTTGTAATGGGGCATTCACTTGTGGTCAGGACCTTTTCTTTCCTATCTTTCAGTCAACCAAGAATATCTTGGAACGATTTAAGATACAAAAAACAGAATAAGTGGAATTCACATGTTGTTAGAACCTATATCCGGCTTAAGGGATCATGAATAGATAAGGTTAGTGACGTATAAAACATCATTACAGTTGAGCTTTGTTATATAAGTCAAGAATAAGTCTGCTTATGAAGCAACTCATCTTGCAACGATATATATGTATATAAGCGTTTTTCGGGTCGATTGGCGCCATGTATTCCTTCTATTCGCTGTTGTAGCTGTTGTTGTTTTTGTTGTTGTTGTTATAGCAACTACGTTAACCTCGCATAGGGACAGGCTTAAAATCAATCTAAGTCACCAAGGTCATCTAACGTAAGGTCCAGGAAACGCGCTGTGTCGACGGGATAGGACAAGAGGGAGAGGGGGGTTAGATGTGTTGGCTTAAAGGGGCATGTAAAGAGGTGCTTGCTATCGTGCGGAGACTCTCCTCATGCTTGGCATACGTTGAGTATGTTGGCATTGAGTCTGTATAGGTCGGAGTTTAGTCTGCAACAATATCCAGAAATCTGGCAATCGAAATTTGCATGGGTAAATGGTACGATGCTAGTGTCAGTATAGATCGCCAGGTTATACTGTTTAACAGACCAGCACTCGCAATTATTATATCTGGCGAGCTTTGGCAATTACCCACAACTCTGGTGGGGATGTTGTCGTTCATTGTTCAGAATGTCGAGGCGTCTATCTGCTCCACCAGCTCCTTTCCTCTTCGGTCATTCGACAGGCTAGAATGTCAAAGATCGTGGTGCGCGTTAAAGTCACCCACGGTTTTCACCTCTAAGTAGCTCACATATATCAGGGCTGGATCCAACTGGCGGGTGAGAGAGTGATGTGAGGATGTAGGGTGTTGTTGCTGTATTACCCGCTGCATAGAATGCCGTATATTGATGTTGGTTGGCGGTAGAGTTTCGACACCAGCCCTGATGAGAAGGATTTGGAGCAACCCAACTGCGAGGTGTTGTTCCGTTGGTGCACTTAGATTAATGTTGTTACATGTTGACCTAAACGGGGTAGGCTTCCGAAAGGATGACAATCCCTTGGGCGGGATAAAATTCGGGTCAAATCCTGTGCGTAGAACCGGCTGTGTTTAGAGTTGCTTTCTATTCGCTGCCTGGCGCCGGTGGAAGCCAGATCACTATCGACGTTATGCTTCCAATGGATTGAAGGCCTTCCCCTCCATCTGTATCCACCAATATTTCCAAAGGTGGAGCCCTTTCATCCATTCGGGCGACATGCAACTATAGCAATGTCGCCGTATAACTCGAACAACGCATTGTTCAATCCTCTGCGTTATTCGCCGTTGCTAATGCATAAAGGACCACAAAATTTTCGAAAATCTGTTCTCTTAAAGACGCCAAGACCGACTCCAAAGTCGACATCGTTCATGCTGGAGTGATGAGAGACTTGTAGAATATGGTTCTGACTCGTCAAGCGTGGACTAATATATATACGACCTCGAAGTCATGACCTCGTTCACTAACAGACCCCTTCGCTTCGCCTCTGTGTCAAGTCTGGAGAAAGCAGATATAACGACGCGGTCGTTCTGACATTGATATCATGTAATCGTCACCACGTCTGAAGTAAACCTCGTTTAATACCAAAAAGCTCTGAGAGGTCTTGCCAAATTCTAACTGCTCTTCTGTTATTTTTCAGTGTTAGCTACACAGCATTATTGTGGTCACAGAAGTGAAATTCTATTTTCGTCGTGTAAACAAAATTTAACGATTATGCAGAAGTTTTCGAATGCCTTACTCATTTAATTTTCAAACCTCACTTTTTTGATATTTTTTTTTTTTTTTTGAATAAACACCTTAAAAATTTGAGTACAACTTTCGTAGATTCGAGAGAACAACATTTAATGAGCCTTCTCCGCTATATTTCCAGCAAAATCTACATACGAACCTATAGTGAACGAAGTACAAGTACCTATAATTGGACGCCAGCAATGTGATTTATGGCTTGACAATCTAACAGTATCCGAGGGTATGATATGCGCGGGCTATGAGGAAGGAGGAAAGGATGCTTGTCAGGTACAGTTAACGAATATGAAAATAAATAATGTACTAAAAAAAATTGAGCAAAGAAATATTCTAAACAATTCGCCAATTTCAATTTTCAGGGTGACTCCGGCGGTCCACTACTCTGTCCTTATCCGGGTGAAAAAGATCGTTGGTTTGTTGGTGGCATCGTTTCTTGGGGCATAATGTGTGCACATCCTAAATTACCCGGCGTTTATGCCAATGTCATCAAATATGTACCGTGGATACATGAGCAAATGGCGAAATATTCAAAACCTGAAAGTGACGAGAAACTCTCCAAATACGATGCTCATCCCGGCGGGCCAGACATATTGTCGAATATAGCAACCGGACCGGTGCGTAGCAAAAGACCTTATCACAATCAGAATCGTAGTCCAATGGATATTGATTACTATGACAGTTATAGGAGAATTTAAGTTCAACAAGTTGAAAATGAAAGCGTGGAAAAGAGTGAAAACTAAGTGTGAGAAAGACATTTACATACATTTACATTTACATACAAACATACCTACATAATTAGAGTAAAGTGTGTTGGAAGTTGCTGATAAATAGTGAGAAAGAAGACAATAATCTAATATAATATGCTGAGTGTGAATATACAATACATACCTATATATTGAAATTTTATAGATAATAAAAATACATACATACATATACAAATATATGCTTAAATATAATAAATACATACACATGTATATACATAGTATATAATAAATGGCAAATTTCTACAAAATGTTAGACAATAAATATATATATTACATGTGCATGTAGTTGCGATTTGTTTGTATTTGACAAACAACAAATATGATTCATGAGAAATGGTACATGTTTACATACAAAAATTCATTTATTTAAAGTATGTTTAACAAAATTGCATATACAACTATTAGATATTTTGTATGCGCATAAGTATATTCGCCAAAGTAGCAATGAATGGAATCGCAAGCAAAAACTACCACAGTACATACATATGAATGTACATGCGTACATATACATATACATGTTAATCAAACGAGTCAATTTCCGAATTTAAATGTCAATTTGAGACAAAGATAATAAGATTTCATTAAATGAAGTCGCCTAAATAAATGTTTGAAAAATATGAAATATCAAAGCCGCAAAAGTGTAGAGTTTATAAATACATACATACATATTTGCACAATTAAATATTTCAAATATAAAAAAAGAAAATATTTCAAATTGACAAATAAAAAATTCCTATTATATTATTATATAATATTATATTATTATTTAAACATCCCAAAAAACAGACACGTATATACATGCATATATATGTAAATGTATAAGACGTACATAAAAAAATTATTATTTAACTTGTAATATACATATATTTGTTTAAGTTCATTTTTATTTAACAAAATAGTATTTAAATTTAATTTAAATAAATATTTTACTTTTGTTTATTATATTGTAACGGATTTAATATAATTTTGTGATTTCAAAAAATCTAGTTTATGATTTTTTATAGTTTACGATTAGCCTGCTCATTTACTAAAAAGTATGCTATTATATAAAACTTATTTTAAAAAATTTCGAATTTCAGCACGTCTTAATTAGCTTCTTCATTGACTTACTCAATTGCCAGTCGTTTCTTCTTGAAAGCATAACTGAAGCCATGGCCGTTCGCCACCAGCTCTTTCCAACGGCGTAGAGATCTATGTTCTCCTCTGTTTACACCGACGGCAGGTGCATCGTATGCTTTAAATGACGGGTTGCTTTCATCCATACAGAGAGCAAAGCCTAACCAGCGCAGCCGCTGTCTTATGATTCGTTCCGAACAAGCTCATCGTTCCATCGTCCGCGATATTTGCAATTGGTATTATGCAAAGGTTATTTCGTACTTCTTTTTCGTCTGGGTGTAGGCGCACGCCGTCTGGGTGAGGAACTTCACTTTGATGCGAATTGTGGTGATACATTCATTCACCACGATGAATTCCAGAAGTCAACGATGTAGGCTCTCTCCCAATATGAAATTTTCACCAAATTTTGGGGTTCTCACCGTCCTTCGCTATTCTTGGGTGATCAGCCTTTATTCTTACGGAGACGTCTATCCAGGTGCGGGGCCTTAAATCATGTTCTTTAATAAACTCGCACTGGTGATCATCTAAAGTGAGGACTTTCATCCTTTTTCATTGCAGCTACAATCAGACCATATAACGCAGTGAAGTTCTCTCTTTTAGTCGTGACCTATGACTGCTGCTCATGCAGAAAGGTTGCTCACGTTTCCAGGATGCGATGCATGAACATTAGAGTAGGAATTAAGTACAACTTTTGCGATGCAGGGAAGGAACATTCGGTACAATTCTCCAAACGGGCTGAAATGATTGCTGTTCCCACGCTCCGAACATCTAACTTTGACTCGGACTACTCTCTTGTACTATCGGACATACATACCGGCATCTGTCACACATGGAAGGCTCGATGTTGAAAAGCTACAATCAAAACAGACAATCGAACGCATTTCTACTCGCTTCACACGCCTGCTCTTTGAAAGCACTAATCTGCAAGAAGATTCTATCTTCACCCTTTGGCTCTGTAGCTCCTTTTATTTTCTCCAGCAATAAATTCAAAAAGGCACACAATAACTTTTTCTGAAACCTCATTTAGTAACGAATGGCTCGGCTGTTTTGCGGTAATAAGCAGTTCAGATATAGCGCCTTAGAGGTAGCTCCCTCATTCTAAATAGTTTGCTTTTTAAATCATTCGGCGTACATAAAATTTAGTGCACAGTTAACCCTCTGCCTATATCAGCATGGGGAAGAATTTTTCTTCCGAGGAAATGAAGCCGAGGCCGATATATTTGATATATTTATCGTTTTATTCACATAAACTTTGGCACTGAAGTAGCCTCCGGACTAAAATACCTTTAGTTACTATTCAATTCTTTGTCAGAAGTGGTTTTATCGGCAAAATCAATTAATATTATTCAAAATAGTCTTCTTCTGCTTTAATACAGCTTTTTGCATGGTCCAAAAGCATGTCGTGCGAGTGTTTTAGCTCGTTGCCCGGTATGACACCAGTATGCCGGTACAAGCCCTTTGAATGTTGGAATGGCCTCCACGTCTGCATAACGCTTTCCTTTCATCGGTAAATGCATTTTTCCGAAAAGGTAGACGTCGCACGGTACCATATCAGGTGAATAAGGAGAGTGGTTGATTGTTAAAATGTGATTTTTGGTCAAATATTCAGCCACAAGCGTCGATGGATGAGACGGCGCATTATCGTGCAACAAACGTCAACTTCTATTAGAGCCGAACACATCGAATACGGCGCACCAAACGCTTCAAAACTCCAAGGTAGAATACCGCATTAACGTTTTGGCCGGGTGGAACAAATTCTTTGTGAACGGTACCCTTGGAATCATGAAAGCAAATCAATCTTGTCTTCACTTTTGACTTCTCCAGGCGCGATTTTTTGGGTTTCGGCTCGTCCGGCGCTTTCCATTCAGCACTCTGGCGTTTCGCTCCGGGATCATATTGAAAACATTGCTTTTCGTCACCAGTCACAACCTTGTGAAGGAAGTTCGGGTATTTTTTTGCCTCTTTAATGATGTCCTTCGGATGTTGAATTCTGACCAATTTTTGCTCGTCAGTTAATTTGTGCTCATTTTCGCATCGATGACAAAAACATACTGACATTTAAATCGCAATAACTTCACTTCCAATAGATGAAATGTCATGAGGTATAACAGATTCCACTAGAGGGCGCTACATACAAAAAGTCCTGTTTACTTTGGAACGCACCTTGTATAATTGACACTTTGTAATCGCTGAAGCGTTATTCTGCCGAGCTCCCCCTCCAATTTGCGGTTTTGCGTCTTGATATTTTCCTAACAAAGGGAGGGACCTACGTTTATACTAAGACGCCTCCAAATGGATGATGGTTCTTTTATGAGTAGCTTTTATCACATATCTTTTGCAAAATACTTTCATGTATAGAAATAGGGCTTGGAGATTTCTTTTTTTGATGCTCCTGATGGATCAGGCAAGTTTTTCTTTAAACTTAATGTTGGTGTAATTACCGTAGTATTTTAGCAGAATTGACAAGGACAACACGAGCGGACGAAGAAAACGCATGCTGGACTGCACTCATAGCAGTTGATGAAAATAGGAAATGTGGACTTCCCGAACCGGAATAACAATATATTTATTCGTACAGCGTTGGCAACCATTTTTTTTTGTGGAAGAACTGATAGCTAAAATTTAAAATTTTCAGCATAAATAATATTTATGATAAGCCGCAGAATGATTATGCGAAACTATATTTTAATTTTATTTTAATTATATTTTATTTCAGTTTGAAATACTCATAATTATTTAAAAAGAAAAAATAGTGACGTTTACGTTATTCAAAAAATTTCATATAATAATTTATATTAACGACATTTTCACATTCCACGCAGATAATGTCGCGGGTAAGCTCTATAAATCATACACATATGTGTATTTCGTAAGTATGGATGTATGTATAAGCGCAACCGCTCAAAGCGATAATAAATGCATAATCGTAAAAATGATTCTAATTAGAAGAAAAAACCTACCCACACAAGTCTACAAACATACTTTCATACATAAAAGTGATATACATACATATGTATATGGATAAATAAAATATTTATATATTATATGTATGTATAAAATTCAACTAAAGCACAATTAACTATAATTAATATAAAAACAATATATACAAATATACTTAGACATATATATTGTATATATATATGTATGTGTACATATATATATGTACACTGGAGACAATACCAAGATGAAGAGAATACATTTACATAAATACCTACACATATGCATATTTCTATTAAATGATAAGGAAATATTTTTATAAAAAAAAAAAAACAAATGGAATTACACAAAATACAAACAGACATACATAAGTAGATAATTTTTATATGTATATACGTATATAAATGCTGTGCAAAATATATAGAGCTATTAAATCTGCTAAACAAAAAAATTCAAAGAAAATTAAAAATAAATATAAAAAGCAAAAATTACAAAAAAAGCTAAATTATGTTGCATGCAAACATACATAGACATACATATATTTAGCCGAAAAGTATTTAGTTAATGACTGTAATACTGTTGTGGAAGCAAATGTTCAACAAATTTATGTAAGCTAAAGTAGAAAAATGCAAATACCATTTGCACATATATACATATGCATGTGTATATGTGAAGTATCTTATGTATACTAAAAATAAAATATTTAGGTATAAATATGAATGAATATGCCTATTAGAGATTATATGTATGTATGTTAACTAAAAATGTTACACTATATTGACAAAAAAAAATTAACTTGAGACAATAAAGCAAAGTTCAAAACAAAATAAAAAGAAAAATCACATAAACTAAATAAGTTAAGAAAAAATGCAGACAATGTACTGAAGACAATAAATATATATAATATATATGTACATAGTATGTACGAGCATACATACACGTATGTAGGTTAAATGTAGAATATGTTGTAAGATTTAATATTGTAGTGAGAAAGGTTTTTAAAAAACATAAACACACACAATTCCATACATACACAATTATATACATATGTAAAATGTAGTTCGGCTTAGGCCAAAAAACTGTTGACAATTATAAAGTTTAA